GTTGGAAAATGGTTGTCTTTTGGAAGAAGCCGACTTACACCGACGATTTCCTTATTCAAATACAGAATCCATCTGGCGAAAAATTGATACAGATGTAAATTGTAGATTACCGTCTCAAACCAGTAATATTAAGCTGTCAATTGGTGTTGTGCCAACTTTAGATATGTTAACGTCAAATACTTCGTTTGATGATTCAAATACATGTTTGCACGTAAGTGTTTCCTGTCAAGTATTGATAATATTTGTTCAGTACTATTTTCTTTTAATTTTATGAATCCCAATAATTTTGTGGTTTTATTTTTAAGCTTAAGCTGTTTTATTCAAATAAATAAATACATAAAATTACATATTTTTCGAATTGTTTGACTCACAATTAAACATTGACATGAAGGCTAATGATGTTGTTTTAGGAGTGTTCAGCATTGCAATTTCACGATGTTAACCTATCTCATAAGCCTGTAGTTTTTAAACTTCTGCTGATTTAATTAGTCTACGAAAAAAGTGAAAAGAATCCCTCCATCTAGTTATATCATATCATCTTACGATCATTGCTTACTTACTTACGCCTGTTACCCCCAATGGAGCATAGGCCGCCCACCAGTTTTCGCCACTGCTACACTGGTCATCTTCTCTTGCATTGGTTGTTGCGTGTGCGATAGAAGTGCCGGGCCATCTGCGAAGTCCAGATCGTCCAGCTGCGTCCTAACTGTCTAGTTGATACCGTGCTTCCCTCCAGATGTCGACGTCTTCATAATCCAGTCGATCACCAGGAGAAAGAATCTTATGATCATGTTCATTGTCTTATGTGATAATATATTTCTTACTATAATAAATAGTTACTTTTATCGTTTACTGATTACATTTATTTTTCTTGTTTGTTATTTTTATTATTTATGAAGTATCGAGTTGTTGGCATTACTTATCGTTTAGTAGATTGTGGTGGAATAAGAGTTTGCCTTCGACCACCTGGAAGATTTCCTTATTCTTCGCCTTCATATGGTGAATTAGATAACAGGGGACGTGAAAGACATCCAAGTGGTTCATCATCATCTACTTTTTCAACAATTCGATCTTCATGGAATTTAGGTTCAGAACCTATATTTCCTAATGGTATTTCAAATATATCTGAAATCGATAATGAACATCTGCTGTCAAGTCCATTGGGAATGCAATTTTCATTGTTACCATTTATTAGATTACAACCTGCAATGCCACGAATGTGTATATTTCCAGGTCGTATTTGTAGTGCATTTGACTTACATGAAGCTATTGATATGTTAAAAAATGAATCAACCAGTGAATATTCATGTGATCTTATGAAACGATTGCATTCACTTGGACTGTCGAAATTTCATGTCCCTGATCTATCGAAATGGTCTGATCGTGTAGCTGCTGTGGTAAGCTTTATGTCAAATTATTTTTCATTAAAATTATTCTACTGATATTAATTATTGATTGTAAATTAATATTTTACCAATGAAAATGATAATTTTTGATGATTGTCAATCACTAGATGATTTGAAATTAGATGTATAGAGTTGCTAGTCAATCTCCGTAGTATTATTTGTATTATGTCAATACGAGTGTAAACGTCCAGTTTTCGACTGTAATAAGGCACAAAAACTACTAATCGAGGAACGATTTTGACATTGATTCTTCAGTTTGGACTTAAAATAATTCAACCGTGTTGATACCACACTTGTTACCCTGCAATAATCACAAGCATTCTTCGAAAATGTTGAGTTCTCTCAGTCATGCACATCGAAATGTACAATTTGAAATGGTGCATGAGAAAGACAGTAAGTCTCGTTTATTATTACAATATAGTGAAAATGGTCGAATTCAAAGATTTATTCATCGAAATGATTGATGGAATGAACTTTACTTGGATTTTGATAACTTCTGTCCGATAAGTTATAAACGAGTTCTAGTTAGAACTCTAATCAATCGAGTATAAAAATTCTGTTCAAATGACAGGATTGAGGAGGAATTAATCGTTGTTGAATAGTGCCTGAAGGATAATAGTTATCCACGAAATTTTATCAATCAATATGTGAAGATGAAAGTAAAAGTAACAGAGAGTGCTGCTACAGTGGAGAAGAAACCTATTTCCATACAACTTGAATTGAACGGTGATCATGTAATAGGTGATCTGATCTACTCTTTCACTATAGTGAGATAATCGACATTATGCGGATTTCTCATGATGCATTAAGCTGTGAAATCGTGCATAGAGGATAACTGACAGACCCGTTCAAAGTGAAGGCTGTTGTCAATCAAGATTGATTACTACCACCCTTCTCTTTCCCCTGGTGGTTGACTAGATTAAGACGTCAACATCTGGAGGAAGCACGGGATTTAGTTGACAGCCCGGATGTATCTGGAGGATCTGTACTTCGCAGATGATCTAGCCCTCGTATTCCACACGAAACAACAGTTGCAGGAGAAGGCGACCAGTTTGGCAGCAGCCTCAGTAGCAGTAGGTCTCAGCATGCACAAAGTGAAGCAGCAAGATTCTCCGATACAACACAATATGCTCCAACCAAATAACACCTTATGGAGAAGCTTTGGAAGATGTAAAAACCTTTACATATCTGATCAACATCACTGACGAGCAAGTGTGATCTAATGCAGATGTAAAGGCTCGGATTAGTAGAGCAGCGACAGCATTCCTCAAACCGAAGAACATCTGTATAACGAAATAACTATCAACCAACACAAAAGTCACTACGAATGTCAAGATAGTTCTACTGCATTAGGTAAGAACTTGGAGAACCATGAAAGCCCATCATCCACAAGATGCAGTCAGTCAGTCAGATGCAACGTAGAACTTCGTACGTAAGTACATCAGTTCATGTTGCCATACCACATCAGCACAAAGATATAATTGTCAATTCAAATCCAATAGTAGTAGAGGTAGTAAGGGAATTAGAAGTAATCGGAGTATGATTCAGTGAGAAAAGTTTAGAAAGTCAAAACTAGAGGTGTTGAAGAATCCAGAAGATTAGGATTTCAGAGAACACAAAGAATAAGTGCACCGGCGCCATTGCGAACGATTTTGAGCCATGTCATTCAAGGTCTCTAACCATCGATTATTATCATCTCGTGGACCCCAACCAGGTAGTCGACAATTACCGACATGGCTCAATCCACTAGTCAATGACTTCATAGATTTCTGCCATGTTTTGGTCTGGTCGCCCCTCACTTTCTTCCAACCTACTCCTACACTACAAAACAAGGCTCGTTGAGGCAGTCGGTGGTTAGGCATACGCAACACGTGTCCCAACCACCTCAACTGATGAAGTTTCACCACTTCATCGATTGATCTGCCATTCTTACCTAGTACTCGTTTAATAACGACAGCATTGCTCACTCGGGTGTCCCACGGTATACGAGCAATGCTTCGAAGACACCTATGATCGAAAACTAGTAACTTACGAATATCTTCTACTCTCACTGGCCATGTTTCACAGCCATATAAGAGAACGGAGCGAACTGCTGCACAGTACACTCGTCCTTTAGTCAGCAGACGGATATCTCGCCTACGCCATAAGTGACGCAGGTTGGCAAAAGCCAATCGAGCCTTCTGTATCCGTGCCGAGATTTCGTCAGTCACCAGGCCATCAGCACTGATGAGACTCCCAAGATAAGTGAAGCGGTCTACACGCTCGACTACTTCACTCCCTATCACTAGTTCAGGTGCCGATGCAACCCAGTCTTGAAGCAACATTTTGCATTTCGAGGGGGAAAACCGCATCCCGAACATGCTTGCATTGTTGCTTAGGGTAGTCAGAAGACTCTGCATTTTGTCAGCGTCTTCACCAAGTAGGACTATATCATCGGCATATTCTAAGTCAATAAGCGAGCCACCTGGTAGAAGGTCTACTCCAGAAAATTCAGACGAGGATAAGGTTATTTCTAGGAGCATGTCTATAATAAAATTAAACAAGAATGGAGAGAGTGGACATCCCTGACGGACACCACTTGATGTAGAGAATTCCGGTGACAGTTCGCCATAAGCTCTCACTCGACCAGTGGTGTTTGAGTAGAGAGCTTGTATGAGGTTAATGTACTTATTTGGTACACCTTTCAATGACAGACACTGCCACAGAACCTCACGATCCACTGAGTCGAATGCCGCCTTAAGGTCCAGGAAAACAACTATTGTAGGACGTCTAAATGTGTGTCTGTGTTCCAAGACCTGTCGTAGTGTGAAAATGTGGTCTATACAGCCACGTCCAGGTCGAAAACCAGCCTGGTTTTCTCGAGTCTGCTCTTCACGAGCTTTCGTTAAGCGTCGAAGTATTATTGAGGCCAATATTTTAGATACTATATTAGTTAGACTTATTCCCCTGTGATTGTCACAAGAAGACTTCTGTCCTTTCTTATAGATTGGGACAATCAGTGATTGAGACCAGTCAGATGGGATTGCGTCCAGTTCGCAGATTCTACCTAAGATCTCAGTCAACCTAGCTGCTAAAACTGGACCACCATCCTTAAATATCTCAGGGGTCAGTCTATCAGGACCTGCAGCTCGTCCTCGCTTCAGATTTCCTAAAGCGTTTTCAACTTCATTAAGACTAGGGGGACTTAGGTCGATTTGCCATTCAGGATGACTGGAGATCGTGGGCAACCGAAGAGTGGCTGAAGGCCAGTTGAACTGATCCCTAAAGTGTTCTGCCCATCGGTCCAGTCTCCTGGATTGAGAATGGATAATAAGACCATCCTTTTCCGAGATAGTCTCACTCACATTCGGGTTCTTAATACCGGTTTCTTTGATAAGGCGGAAAAGTTGTCTAGTGTTACCGATCACCGCTGCCTTTTCCATCGCTTTTGCTTTCGCCACCCACCACTGTTCGCGGTCGTTACGCAGACTTTGTATAAGTCTGCGCCTAAGTTGACTACGCTCTTCATCATGCTCAGAGTCAGGTGGGATGAGTTTTCGAGCATCCATCAGTTCGGTAGATGAGACTGATATCCACGGCTTCATCCTAGCCTTATGGTTTACC